AGCATTGATACAGAGCCTACAAGCATTGATACAGAGCCTACAAGCATTGATACAGAGCCTACGAGCATTAAAAACAGAGCCTACAAGCATTGATACAGAGCCTATGAGCATTGATACAGAGCCTACAAGTATTGATACAGTGCCTATAACCATTTATACAGAGCCTACGAGCATTGATACAGAGCCTATGAGCATTGATACAGAGCCTACAAGTATTGATACAGAGCCTATGAGCATTGATACAGAGCCTTCAAGTATTGATACAGTGCCTACAACCATTGCTACAGAGCCTACGAGCATTGATACAGAGCCTATGAGCATTGATCTAAAGCCTACAAGCATTGCAATAAAGCCTCACAGCATTGAGACAGAGCATATGAGCATTGATACAGAGCCTACAAGTAGTGATACAGAGCCTGCGAGCATTGATACAGAGCCTACGAGCATTGATACAGAGCCTACAAGTATTGATACAGAGCCTACAAGCATTGATGCAGGCCTACAAGCATTGATACAGAGCCTACAAGCATTGATACAGAGCCTACAAGCATTGATATCAGAGCCAACGACCATTGATACAGAGCATACGAGCATTGATACAGTGCCTATGAGCATTGATCTAAAGCCTACAAGCATTGCAATAAAGCCTCACAGCATTGAGACAGAGCATATGAGCATTGATACAGAGCCTACAAGTAGTGATACAGAGCCTGCGAGCATTGATACAGAGCCTACGAGCATTGATACAGAGCCTACAAGTATTGATACAGAGCCTACAAGCATTGATGCAGGCCTACAAGCATTGATACAGAGCCTACAAGCATTGATACAGAGCCTACAAGCATTGATAAAGAGCCTACGAGTATTGATACAGAGCCTACAAGCATTGATACAGAGCCTACAAGCATTGATACAGAGCCTACAACCATTGATACAGAGCCTACGAGCATTGATACAGAGCCTATAAACATTGATACAGAGCCTACAAGCATTGATACAGAGCCTACGGGCATTGTTACAGAGCCTACAAGCATTGATACAGAGCCTACGCGCAGTGATACAGAGCTTACAAGCATTGATACAGACCCTACAAGCATTGATACAGAGCCTGCGAGCATTGATACAGAGCCTACGAGCATTGATACAGAGCCTACGAGCATTGAGACAGAGTCTACAAGCATTGATACAGAACCTACAAGCATTGATACAGAGCCTACAAGCATTGATACAGAGCCTACGAGATTTGATACAGAGCCTACGAGCATTGATTCAGAGCCTACAAGCATTGAAACAGAGCCTACAAGTATTAATACAGAGCCTACAAGTATTAATACAGAGCCGACGACCATTGATACAGAGCCTACTCTTTAAGAAGTTATTTTATCATAAAAACACTTAAGTTTGAGAGCCACTATTTACATGTTTGGCTCTTTATGCTGAAGAACAAAGTTTTAGGGCCTGTAAGTGCTTTATGATGTCCTATAAACATCTCTTTCCATCATAATGAATAAGCAGCTGGTGACTGACAAGAAAATACCTGTATTGCAGATTGGTTGAAATGTTATATGGTATATAGTATTGGACTGTTCTACATATGCTCATACCATGGTGCTGTCATCAAATACTTTGATTACACTGGTAGTACTGCACACCTCCAGCTTACACTGGTAGTACTGCACACCTCTAGCCTACACTGGTAGTACTGCACACCTACAGCCTACACTGGAAGTACTGCACACCTCCAGCTTACCCTGGTAGTACTGCACACCTCCAGCGTACACTGGTAGTACTGCACACCTCAAGCTTACACTGGTAGTACTGCACTCCTCCAGCTTACACTGGTAGTACTGCTCTCCTCCAGCTTACACTGGTAGTACTTCACGCCTCCAGCTTACACTGGTAGTACTGCTCACCTCCAGCTTACACTGGTGGTACTGCACACCTCCAGATTACACTGGCAGGACAGCACACCTCTTGCTTACACTGGTAGTACTGCACAACTCCAGCTTACACTGGTAGTACTGCCCCCCTCCAGCTTACACTGGTAGTACTTCACATCTCCAGCTTACACTGGTAGTACTTCACGCCTCCAGCTTACACTGGTAGTCCTGCACACCTCCAGCTTACACTGATAGTTCTGCACACCTCCAGCTTACACTGGGAGTACGGGACACCTCCAGCTTACACTGGTAGGACTGCACACCTCCAGCTTACACTGGCAGTACTGCACACCTCCAGCTTACCCTGGTAGTACTGCAAACCTACAGCTTACACTGGTAGTACTGCACACCTCCCGCTTACACTGGTAGTACTGCACAACTCCAGCTTACACTGGTAGTACTTCACGCCTCCAGCTTACACTGGTAGTCCTGCACACCTCCAGCTTACACTGGTAGTACTGCACACCTCCAGCTTCAACACTTGTTGGAGACTGACTTTTCTGCAGTCATAACAAAAACAATTGATATATTTGCATGCAAAGTGGTGTAATTTTGTATAACTCGTAAGCCCAATGCCCAGGGATAGTAGAGTTTATGTCAGAACAAGGAAAAATCTTCATTATTTATGAAAATTTACATTTGTAAGTTGGTAAAATTTCAAAAAAATAGCGACAAGTACCTGAAATATGAAATTGTACACCATGTAAAGAAAATTTCTTTGTTTTAATTTCAGATTTCTAAAATGTGAAAACAACATGAAAAGATCAAGTACAAAGACTTGATATTATATTGTTTGCGTTAAATAGAGAAGCTAAAGATAGCTTTTAACACTAGATGAAAAAGGCTCAACTTCAGTTCAAATTTTATTAACCTCGAAAAAATGAAACAGAAGCAAATGAAATCAAAAAAGAGCACAGTTTCTGGAGATTCTTTAATGGAACAGCTACCCCTCCAAAAGACATGTGATCTGCTGCGACACCGAGTATCCCAGTTGTCCACCCCCCCACAAATCCATGGATATGACCAAGAAAGAAGGTATGAAAGCTACAGTGAAAAATATGAATTATTGTAAAGTTTGTGTAGGTTGTGTTGAGATAGTGTAAAAACTGTAAAAGAAGCATTCAGAAATCAATTTGTTCATGTTGTATCACCAGAAAGCAGATATTTTGCTAGTCACTCAATTCATCTGGATAAGTACATGTTATTGAATTAACCTTCAGTACAGAAAGGCTGGGCCAAGTAGGGTGAATAGTCATAGTGCAATAACCCTTTCACCCCTATGTAACTTTAATGAACTCTACCGTGTATTGATCTGGATAAGTCCATTATGGTATACAGTGGTGAAAGAGTTACACAACTTAACCTCTGGAACTTAAAGATGAATGTCAAGCATTTTTAGTTGAAAGTATTCTCAGGTGGTGGGAATTGAAAGAAATTGTACATGTGGAGGGCTGACCTCCAGTTAGTTAATGAGGGGCAGGGCCAAACAAAGGAAATTGCTTTAATTAGGAGAATCCTTAGGAGGATTCTCCTAAATGGACCAAAGTATGGATATCAACCGTCTTGGTTGGAAGCATCCTCATGATCAGGTGGTGATACCAAAAGTTTAAACAGAGTTGCTGACCATGGCCTGCAATGGTGCTGAGGGGCATTAAAAAAAAAAGTAAAAACTATAACTTTATAAGGTACATGTATAACTATTATATACATTCACTTTCTGCGTACAATGAGATGAGTATGGATATGGTACCAGGATTTGCTTTGGCCCTGGGGACTTAAAATCAATGCATAAGATCATATTTGCCCTATGGTCTGGCCATGGTCTGTTCCTGGGGACTTGTGTTTTGGTTTTTAGCCCACCATCATCTGATGGTGGGCTATTCAAATCACCCTGCATCCGTGGTCCGTCGTCCGTCCGTTGTCCGTCGTCCGTCCGTAAACAATTCTTTGTTATCGCTATTTCACAAGAAGTACCAGAGGGATCTTTCTCAAATTTTATATGCAGGTTCCCCTTGGTCCTTAGCTGTGCAGTGCTACTTTTGATACTGATTGGATAAACAACATGGCCGACAGGCAGCCATCTTGGATTTTGATAGAGAAAGTTTGTTATCGCTATTTCTCGGGAAGTATCAGAGGGATCTTTCTCAAATTTTAAATGTAGGTTCCCCTTGATCCCTCGTTGTGTATGTTATATTTTGAGACTGATCATAAAAACAAAATGGATTAAAAGAAGAACTAAACAGATCTTTCTCATATTGCAATAATCGATTCTATTTCTTTCACATTTAGTACTGTACTAGTAAATATGTGAAATGACAAACTCACTTTGAAGGTTGGCTTTCATACACATCAGTATTAAGTTTAGATCAAAAGTTACCTCCAGGTGCATTTACTGTTAACATGACTCGATCAAACAGCTTAGAGGAAAGAGGAGAAAAGATCGAACTGACAAAGAACTAATGAAGATGGTACAAAGGTGGGCGCCAAGATCCCTCTCGGATCTCTTGTATATATATGTCGTTCCTGGGCATGCATGACCAGACAAACAAACAGCTACCAGGATTGGACAAGGGTCGGACCCACCATTAGAGAAAATTTGTAACATTAATTTATATACACAAGCAATTACTTTTAATGAAAATATTTTGCCATGGTTTATTTAATATCCAGGTGAGAAATATATTGAATTATTCACACAGTGATCTCCCAAAATAGTACCCCTGTTTTTATTTGCCCACTTAACTTTATAGTCAAGGTACTGCTGTTTATCTGAATGATATTTAATTGCTACTATAGGTTTTTCGTTTATAAAAAATATACTTTACTTGCAACTTTTACATTGGTTAGTTTGGTTAACTTTATAGGTAGGTACATAATTGCAATATTTGTATGTAGTGTTGTGCAATGTATATCGGGAGTATAATTAGTTGCCTTATTGATTTATTTTTGCAAACTTGCATGATATCATTCAATTGTTTGTTTCTTTTTGATAACAGACAGCTGCTGGATTTGATAAGAAGAACTGGCACAACAGGTGAAAGTAACTCTGCTCTGTTGATAGGGCCGAGAGGATGTGGCAAATCTATGGTAATAACAAGTACATGTTTATTAGTCCCCCACCGGTTCTCACATGGAACAATACATTTTATATAGGTTTTGCAGTCTGTCCTTCTGAAAAGTTTATCTGGACATTATGAGAAGTTCTTTTTACACAACCAATAAAATTTCTATGTGACGTTTTGATGACTAGTACGATATGTACACTGTCACCTTCATCAAACAAATGACCTGTGGAGCGCATGCACACAAAGATGTAAAATGTGTACGAGTTGTCCATAAAATCGATGTCGATTTCGGCTACGCTGGAAACGTATGTACAATAGTTGTTATATATGTACCAAAATGACTCAATTCAGCTACGCTTTGTTAACACTTGGTCATAGATGTGAGAGAGTCTTTGAGCCCCCCTTGTCTCGATTTAGAACTGTTCTACATACGTTTCCAGCGTAGCCGAAATCGACATCGATTTTGAGGACAACTCGTACACATTTTACACCTTTGTGTGCATACGCTTCATTGGTCATTTGTCTGATGAAGGTGACATTGTACATATCGTACTAGTCTTCGAAACGTCACACTGAAAATTTTATTGGTTGTGTAATAAAAAGAACTTCTCATAATCCATACTTACCAACCTGAAGAAAATGTTTAGATTTATCTGCACATGTCTTACATACTATTTCACCTGTAGTAACCAGATTTGGTATGCAAGTATATCTTGGGATGATGAAGTTCAGAGTTTAAAAAGTAGGTCACTGTGACCTATGGTTTGACCTTTGACCTCAATCTTTGTAAACATTTATCAGAGTCGTATCTTCTATACTATTTTACCTGGAGTAACCATATTTAGTATGCATGTACATCTTCAGATGCGGCAGTATTGAGTACAAAAAATAAGTCGCTGTGACCTATCATTTGACCTTTGACATCAGTAAATAAAGAAATCATTATCAGTGGGGACTGTGGATTGCCTTGCAATACTTTGCCATGTAAAATCAAGAAATTAGGAGTCCATCACACAAAAAAAAGTTATAGATCTTTTTTATTTCAGACAATCCCTTGCTAGGGGATCAGGCATACGGTCATTAAACACTCCAACATCTACTGTACACTTATAAAACACTCAATATTTACTCTAATGCCATGTAATATAACTTCGTTATACAGCGGTAAATTATTCTATACTTATTTTTTTGTTTAGTTGGTAGAGAATGTTGTTGAGGAGTTGATGCTGGACAAGGAGATCAGAGATAACCTTCTCCACGTACGCCTTAATGGTAGGTATTTATAAACTCATGTACAATAGGTTTGTATACATTAAAAGTTATTACCTAAACGTACATTAAAGTTATTATAATATGTATGTAAGGGTTGTAATATGTTGATTAAGTCATTTTATCAGTGTATTTCCTCGTTGCACTGGTAGTGTATATTATATGAATGGTTACTTACTCAAACTGTACTGATATAAATACATATGACTCAGAACTGATTATATGTGTTAAGAAAGTTACTCATTACTGATGATCCTCTAGTCACACTGTGAATCACTGACATTTACAGTAGCAATTATTTATTTGCAAAATCTCAAGGTAACTCATTCACAAATTTCAACTGCAATAATTTAAGATTTGATATATAAATATATATGTATATATTTTGGTGTGTTTTCAAATAGTGATTTGTATGCTAGTGTTAAGGGACAGTATTACATAAATATGTCAATTCCTAAACAAGACACTTTAAATAAACCTGAACAGTTCTGTTGGCAATATTCTAGCTTGAATATGTTAATTACAGGCCTATTACAAACAGATGACAAGATTGCTCTAAAGGAGATCACCAGACAACTACAGCTGGAGAACACAGTGGGCACCAAAGTGTTTGTGAGTGTCTGTTGAGGAGAAAAATCATTATTGATGTAAAATTGATGTCAATATTATCTGATGCAGGAGTAGTAAATATTAAAAAAACTTTGTGGTGATAAACTGCTTAATGTAGAGGAAAAACAGGGATTTAACAAGAATCTTAGGTCAAGATAAAGGTCACTGTTGATTATAGAACATGGTGTATGTACTGTAAAAAGTACATAATATTGCCCTTTCTATTTAAAGCTGCCATTGTTCATTTTGGTGGTAAATGGTACTAAGTGGATATCTTACATTGAATACAGCTATATTACCTTGATCCTAAATCATAGATGGCCACCTCTCAAGGTCAAGGTCACCTACTGAAAATAGAACAGGGAGGGTATGCTGTCAAAAGTACATTATGTACCTCTTCCTGAGCTGTTGGTGTGACTTTTAGTTGTTTGTTTTAATGATAAATTATACTTAATGGATACCTTTTATCAACAAAGCTTTATTGTCTAGATCATAAACTTTAAGATGGTCACACTTCATTGCTGCTGACTATTATATATAGCTACACAGGTACATTTTGGTAAATATGACATACTCTCTGGATCCAATAATCTAACAGTATTTGTTGGATTACATACAAATGTAACACTATACTATTCTGATCATGAAATCCAACAGGATAGCTGTTGCTTCTGTATGGTAATTATGAGGGATACATACGGACAGGCAATCACGACAGGGCACATAGCATGCATGCTGACTGGTCAATGTTGTAGTTTCTGTGTAGTATCATTATATATGTAGCTTTTATTTTTTTTGCATATTATGGCATGCCATTAACTCCTCTTTCAAAAAAATAACATGAGAAAAAAAGTTAATACAGGATTTTTTTTAATTAGAGGTGTGCATGCCAAGACAGGTTTTTGTTCAAACAAACTATTGATTTCATATTTTATGCTTGTAAATACATGTATTATGTCTATAGAATAAGAAATTCCTGTCAATGTTAATGCAAATAAGCCTCATCTTGCTTCAGGGATCCTTTGCAGAGACACTTCAATTTCTACTAGATGCATTGAAGAGTGGTATGTATTCCAAAGGAACAGCAAAGAATAAAGCAATAGTCCTAGTTCTACCTGTCCATACAATGTTGTAGTATATAGAATACAGCAATAGTCCTAGTTCTACCTGTCCGTACAATGTTGTAGTATATAGAATAAAGCAATAGTCTAGTTCTACCTGTCCATACAATGTTGTAGTATATAGAATACAGCAATAGTCCTTGTTCTACCTGTCCATACAATGTTGTAGTATAAAGACTAAAGCAATAGTCCTAGTTCTACCTGTCCATCCAATGTTGTAGTATATAGAATACAGCAATAGTCCTAGTTCTACCTGTCCATACAATGTTGTATTATATAGAATAAAGCAATAGTCCTAGTTCTACCTGTCCATCCAATGTTGTAGTATATAGAATACAGCAATAGTCCTAGTTCTACCTGTCAATAAAATGTTGTCGTATATAGAATAAAGCAATAGTCCTAGTTCTAACTGTCCATACAATGTTGTAGTATATAGAATACAGCAATAGTCCTAGTTCTACCTGTCCATACAATGTTGTAGTATAAAGACTAAAGCAATAGTCCTAGTTCTACCTGTCCATCCAATGTTGTAGTATATAGAATACAGCAATAGTCCTAGTTCTACCTGTCAATAAAATGTTGTCGTATATAGAATAAAGCAATAGTCCTAGTTCTACCTGTCCATCCAATGTTGTAGTATATAGAATACAGCAATAGTCCTAGTTCTACCTGTCCATACAATGTTGTATTATATAGAATAAAGCAATAGTCCTAGTTCTACCTGTTCATACAATGTTGTAGTATATAGAATAAAGCAATAGTCCTAGTTCTACCTGTCCATCCAATGTTGTAGTATATAGAATACAGCAATAGTCCTTGTTCTCCCTGTCCATACAATGTTGTAGTATATAGAATACAGCAATAGTCCTTGTTCTACCTGTCCATACAATGTTGTAGTATATAGAATAAAGCAATAGTCCTAGTTCTAACTGTCCATACAATGTTGTAGTATATAGAATACAGCAATAGTCCTAGTTCTACCTGTCCATACAATGTTGTATTATATAGAATAAAGCAATAGTCCTAGTTCTACCTGCACATACAATGTTGTAGTATATAGAATAAAGCATTAGTCCTAGTTCTACCTGTCCATACAATGTTGTATTATATAGAATAAAGCAATAGTCCTAGTTCTAACTGTCCATACAATGTTGTAGTATATAGAATACAGCAATAGTCCTAGTTCTACCTGTCAATAAAATGTTGTCGTATATAGAATAAAGCAATAGTCCTAGTTCTACCTGCACATACAATGTTGTAGTATATAGAATAAAGCAATAGTCCTAGTTCTAACTGTCCATACAATGTTGTAGTATATAGAATACAGCAATAGTCCTTGTTCTACCTGTCCATACAATGTTGTAGTATAAAGACTAAAGCAATAGTCCTAGTTCTACCTGTCCATCCAATGTTGTAGTATATAGAATACAGCAATAGTCCTAGTTCTACCTGTCCATACAATGTTGTATTATATAGAATAAAGCAATAGTCCTAGTTCTAACTGTCCATACAATGTTGTAGTATATAGAATACAGCAATAGTCCTAGTTCTACCTGTCAATAAAATGTTGTCGTATATAGAATAAAGCAATAGTCCTAGTTCTAACTGTCCATACAATGTTGTAGTATATAGAATACAGCAATAGTCCTAGTTCTACCTGTCAATAAAATGTTGTCGTATATAGAATAAAGCAATAGTCCTAGTTCTACCTGCACATACAATGTTGTAGTATATAGAATAAAGCAATAGTCCTAGTTCTACCTGTTCATACAATGTTGTAGTATATAGAATAAAGCATTAGTCCTAGTTCTACCTGTCCATACAATGTTGTATTATATAGAATAAAGCAATAGTCCTAGTTCTACCTGCACATACAATGTTGTAGTATATAGAATAAAGCATTAGTCCTAGTTCTACCTGTCCATACAATGTTGTATTATATAGAATAAAGCAATAGTCCTAGTTCTAACTGTCCATACAATGTTGTAGTATATAGAATACAGCAATAGTCCTAGTTCTACCTGTCCATACAATGTTGTATTATATAGAATAAAGCAATAGTCCTAGTTCTACCTGTCCATCCAATGTTGTAGTATATAGAATACAGCAATAGTCCTAGTTCTACCTGTCAATAAAATGTTGTCGTATATAGAATAAAGCAATAGTCCTAGTTCTACCTGCACATACAATGTTGTAGTATATAGAATAAAGCAATAGTCCTAGTTCTACCTGTCCATCCAATGTTGTAGTATATAGAATACAGCAATAGTCCTAGTTCTACCTGTCCATACAATGTTGTAGTATAAAGACTAAAGCAATAGTCCTAGTTCTACCTGTCCATACAATGTTGTAGTATAAAGACTAAAGCAATAGTCCTAGTTCTACCTGTCCATACAATGTTGTAGTATAGATCTCATAAGGGATAACGATAGTAGGATCCAAATGGGCACTGGATCCGAACCAACAAATGCTGGTTGGATGGGTATTACTTTAGTAGATAAAAGGGCAAAGAAGTAATAATGACAGTCAGAGAAGGCAAAGGAATCTGTCAAATCTTCTAGGCAATCCACCCGTTTGTAAAGACAGAAACATGAACAATAAGTACACATCACAACATATAAAAAAGAAGTAAACAGTCATTATGAAACAATGCTACAACATAAAATGCATAACAGAAAACCAGTTATCGCTTATGTAATCTGCTGATGTTATAGGATATCCATTCAGCTTACTTGTAGCTGAAGGCTAGTAAAGTAAAGAACTCATCTTGAAAACCTTATTCATGTGAATTAAAAGAAGACAAAAATATGTGTATATTTATGTACATTTTGTGCTTATCAGAAAAATGTATGTCATATGTAGGACTAAACTGTTGATTAATTGATTTAAATTGTGCCCTTAAATTTTGGATTTTGCAAAATTTACATTTATCAATGCATTTTTAGCTCACCTGGCCCGAAGGGCCAAGTGAGCTTATCCCATGGTGCAGCGTCCGGCGTCCGGCGTCCGTCAACTTTTTCCTTTAAAATGCTACTTGTCCTGAATGGCTCAGAGGATTTTGACCAAATTTGGTCAGGAGCATCATTGGCCAAAGGGTTCTCAGTTTTGTATAAACGGAGGGTATAACCCCCCTGGGGGCAGAGGGGCGGGGCCAAATATGGGGAAAATAGGTAAATCTTTAAAAATCTTCTTCTTCTCAACCAATAGAAGGATTTTGACCAAATTTGTCCTAGAGCATCTTTGGACAAAGGAGACTCAAGTTTGTATAAACGGAGGGTGTGGCCTCTTTGGGGGCAGAGGGGCGGGGCCAAATAGGGGAAGTAGAGGATTTTTTCTCTCCTACTATACAAGTGAAGGGATTTAAACCAAATGCAGTCTGAAGCTTGGTCAGGAGCATCATTGGCCAAAGGGTTCTCAGTTTTGTATAAACGGACGGTATAGCCCCCCCTCGGGGCAGAGGGGCGGGGCTAAATAAGGGGAAAAAAGGTAAATCTTTAAAAATGTTCTTCTTCTCAACCAATTGAAGGATTTTGACCAAATTTGTCCTAGAGCATCTTTGGACAAAGAAGACTCAAGTTTGTATAAACGGAGGGTGTGGCCCCTCTGGGGGCGGAGGGGCGGGGCCCAATAGGGGAAATAGAGGATTTTTTTTCTCCTGCTATACAAGTGAAGGGATTTTAACCAAATGCAGTCTGAAGCATGATTAGGGACAAAAGAATCAATTTTGTATAAACTGAGGTGTGTGGGCCTCCTTCTAAGGGCAGATGGGTGGGGCCCATTAGGGGAAATAGAGGAAAACATCAAATATCCTTCTCCTTTTGTACCGATGAAGGGATTTTGACCAAATTTGGTCTGGAGCATCATTGGCCAAAGGGTTCTCAGTTTTGTATGAACGGAGGGTATGGTCCCCCTGGGGGCAGAGGGACGGGGCCAAATAGGGGAAAATAGGTAAATCTTTAAAAATCTTCTCCTCAACCAATTGAAGGATTTTGACCAAATTTGTCCTAGAGCATCTTTGGACAAAGGAGACTCAAGTTTGTATAAACGGAGGGTGTGGGCCTTCTGGCGGCATAGGAGCGGGGCCCAATAGGGGAAATAGAGGATTTTTTTTCTCCTACTATACAAGTGAAGGGATTTAAACCAAATGCAGTCTGAAGCATGCTTAGGGAGAAAAGAATCAATTTTGTTTAAACTGAGGTGTGTGGATTCCCCTTCTTTGGGGCAGATTAGTGGGGCCCATTAGGGGAAATAGAGGAAAACATTAAAGATCCTTCTCCTTCTGTAACGTTGAATGGATTTTAACCTAACCAAACATGTTTTAGAGAATCTTTGGGCAAAGGGAATTGAATATTTTTAAATGGAAGATGCAACTTTGTTACTTGTACTCCTTTGGTAAACCTGAATGGTACTCAGCAGGTTTTAAATTGAAAAATAAAATACCAGGTGAGCTATTAAGGCCCCTGGGCCTCTTGTTAATGATACTGAAAGTGGTACAATCTCCTTCCCTTGTAGGTAGCCACAGTAGTAAGCCTATTCTGTTTGTCCTGGATGAGTTTGACCTGTTTGCCCACCATAAGAACCAGACACTACTGTACAATCTGTTTGATGTTGCACAGTCAGCCCAGGCTCCTGTCTGTGTCCTTGGCCTCACTTGTCGACTGGTACGTTTTAATATCGGCCTCACTTGGTGACTGGTACGCTTTAATGTTTGATGTTGCACAGTCAGCCCAGGCTCCTGTCTGTGTCCTTGGCCTCACTTGTCGACTGGTACGTTTTAATATCGGCCTCACTTGGTGACTGGTACTCTTTAATATCGCCTCACTTGGTGACTGGTACACTTTGATATGGCCTCACTTGGTGACTGGTACATTTTAATATCGGCCTCGCTTGGTGACTGGTACGCTTTAATATCGCCTCACTTGGTGACTAGTACATTTTAATATCGGCCTCACTTGGTGACTGGTAAGCTTTAATATCGCCTCACTTGGTGACTGGTACATTTTAATATCGCCTCACTTGGTGACTGGTACGCTTTAATATCGCCTCACTTGGTGACTGGTACATTTTAATATCGGCCTCACTTTGTGACTGGTACGCTTTAATATCGCCTCACTTGGTGACTAGTACACTTTAATATCGGCCTCACTTGGTGACTGGTACGCTTTAATATCGCCTCACTTGGTGACTGGTACACTTTAATATCGGCCTCACTTGGTGACTGGTACGCTTTAATATCGCCTCACTTGGTGACTGGTACACTTTAATATCGGCCTCACTTGGTGACTGGTACGCTTTAATATCGGCCTCACTTGGTGACTGGTACGCTTTAATATCGGCCTCACTTGGTGACTGGTACGCTTTAATATCGGCCTCACTTGGTGACTGGTACGCTTTAATATCGGCCTCACTTGGTGACTGGTACGCTTTAATATCGGCCTCACTTGGTGACTGGTACGCTTTAATATCGGCCTCACTTGGTGACTGGTACGCTTTAATATCGGCCTCACTTGGTGACTGGTACGCTTTAATATCGGCCTCACTTGGTGACTGGTACGCTTTAATATCGGCCTCACTTGGTGACTGGTACGCTTTAATATCGGCCTCACTTGGTGACTGGTACGCTTTAATATCGGCCTCACTTGGTGACTGGTACGCTTTAATATCGGCCTCACTTGGTGACTGGTACGCTTTAATATCGGCCTCACTTGGTGACTGGTACGCTTTAATATCGGCCTCACTTGGTGACTGGTACGCTTTAATATCGGCCTCACTTGGTGACTGGTACGCTTTAATATCGGCCTCACTTGGTGACTGGTACGCTTTAATATCGGCCTCACTTGGTGACTGGTACGCTTTAATATCGGCCTCACTTGGTGACTGGTACGCTTTAATATCGGCCTCACTTGGTGACTGGTACGCTTTAATATCGGCCTCACTTGGTGACTGGTACGCTTTAATATCGGCCTCACTTGGTGACTGGTACGCTTTAATATCGGCCTCACTTGGTGACTGGTACGCTTTAATATCGGCCTCACTTGGTGACTGGTACGCTTTAATATCGGCCTCACTTGGTGACTGGTACGCTTTAATATCGGCCTCACTTGGTGACTGGTACGCTTTAATATCGGCCTCACTTGGTGACTGGTACGCTTTAATATCGGCCTCACTTGGTGACTGGTACGCTTTAATATCGGCCTCACTTGGTGACTGGTACGCTTTAATATCGGCCTCACTTGGTGACTGGTACGCTTTAATATCGGCCTCACTTGGTGACTGGTACGCTTTAATATCGGCCTCACTTGGTGACTGGTACGCTTTAATATCGGCCTCACTTGGTGACTGGTACGCTTTAATATCGGCCTCACTTGGTGACTGGTACGCTTTAATATCGGCCTCACTTGGTGACTGGTACGCTTTAATATCGGCCTCACTTGGTGACTGGTACGCTTTAATATCGGCCTCACTTGGTGACTGGTACGCTTTAATATCGGCCTCACTTGGTGACTGGTACGCTTTAATATCGGCCTCACTTGGTGACTGGTACGCTTTAATATCGGCCTCACTTGGTGACTGGTACGCTTTAATATCGGCCTCACTTGGTGACTGGTACGCTTTAATATCGGCCTCACTTGGTGACTGGTACGCTTTAATATCGGCCTCACTTGGTGACTGGTACGCTTTAATATCGGCCTCACTTGGTGACTGGTACGCTTTAATATCGGCCTCACTTGGTGACTGGTACGCTTTAATATCGGCCTCACTTGGTGACTGGTACGCTTTAATATCGGCCTCACTTGGTGACTGGTACGCTTTAATATCGGCCTCACTTGGTGACTGGTACGCTTTAATATCGGCCTCACTTGGTGACTGGTAAGCTTTAATATCGGCCTCACTTAGTGACTGGTACGCTTTAATATCGCCTCACTTGGTAACTGGTACGCTTTAATATCAGCCTCACTTGGTGACTGGTACGCTTTAATATCGGCCTCACTTGGTGACTGGGACGCTTTAATATCGCCTCACTTGGTTACTGGTACGCTTTAATATTGGCCTCACTTGGAGACTGGTACGCTTTAATATCGACCTCACTTGGTGACTGGTATGCTTTAATATCGGCCCCACTTGGTGACTGGTACGCTTAATTATCGCCTCACTTGGTAACTGGGACGCTTTAATATCAGCCTCACTTGGTACGCTTTAATATCGCCTCACTTGGTATCTGGTACGCTTTAATATCAGCCTCATTTGGTGACTGGTACGCTTTCATATTGGCCTCACTTGGTGACTGGAACCCTTTAATATCGGCCTCACTTAGTGACTGGTACGCTTTAATAGCGCCTCACTTGGTAACTGGTTCGCTTTAATATCAGCCTCATTTGGTGACTGGTACGCTTTCATATCAGCCTCACTTGGTGACTAGTACGTTTTGATATCGGCCTCACTTGGATCGGCCTCACTTGGTGACTAGTACGTTTTGATATCGGCCTCACTTGGATCGGCCTCACTTGGTGACTAGTACGTTTTGATATCGGCTCACTTGGTGACTGGTACACTTTAATATCGGCCTCACTTGGTGACTGATACGCTTTAATATCGGCCTCTCTTGGTGACTGGTACGCTTTCATATTGGCCTCACTTGGTAACTGGTTCGCTTTAATATCGCCTCACTTGGTTACTGGTACGCTTTAATATTGGCCTCACTTGGTAACTGGTTCGCTTTAATATCGCCTCACTTGGTATCTGGTACGCTTTAATATCAGCCCCACTTGGTGACTGGTACGCTTTAATATCAGCCTCACTTGGTGACTAGTACGTTTTGGTATCGGCTTCACTTGTTGTCTGGCACATTTTAATAAAAGCCTCACTTGTCGACTGGTACATTTCAGTATTTGCCTCAATGGTCGACTGGTACGTTTTAATTAGGTCACTTGCATTTGACCTTTAAGTCAAAGGTTTAATTAAAGCAATATTTCAGTAAAATTGCTGAAATTTTTTAACAGGTATTTTGATGAAACTTCAGGGATTCTGCATGATCACTATAGTGTATAGTCAATATTATTAGGTAACAGTAACCTTCACCTGTAGGTCAAAGGTCAAGTAAGCGAAAACAAATTGTTGAATTCTGTCTAAGCTATAGATTTTTAAACTGATAAAGATGCATGTATTTTGATGAAATTCAGAGTATACCTTCATCACCCAATAAGAGTGAACTGTATTAAATTTACTGTGAACTTACCCTTCAGATCAAAAGTTAAGTACTTCCAAAAAAATTACATTTATGCAGAAGTCGATATGGAAAGGCAAATGTTTAAGTTTACGAAAGTACCAATCTCTGTTAATTACACAATAATACACAGGTACAAAACATTTCCGCAATACAAATGTATAGAAGGTATACATGTATATGGTTTGATAACAGTTATATTTCATGGGTGGGATGAATATTTCGATATTAAACGTTATTTAAGAAGTAGAATAACTACATTAGTGTTGTATTTTGAAACAGTTATATAATATTTTCTCCCTGCCAAATTTCATTATTTGGCCTATTATGTTTTTAACCATCGTTGAATTTCTGCTTGTATACTTAGTGGTACTGTTCTCTATGCATGTATAGATTTGTTTTACCCTTTGTGCTGGATTCAGTCTGAAGCAGAAACGCTTATTAATGACACCATCCATGTTGTAGGACGTTGTTGAGCTGTTAGAGAAAAGAGTGAAGTCACGGTTTTCCCACAGACAGATCCACCTGTTTAATAATATTACATTAGGGGACTACACACAGCTCTTCATCTCCTATCTCAGTCTCCCAGACCACTTCACAGACACAAAGTTTGTAAAGACTTGGAACAAACACATACAGGTACAGTGTGGACTCCAGGGGCTCTTTTTACAATACATTGTATATGATGATTGATGTTACAAAAGTGGCAATGATAAAAAGTTCAGAATAGAAATGTACCAAACTATCTGTTTGTTAGGTTGTAACATGTTCTTATATAGCACAAACAGTGAATATTTACACTTTCATGTACTAATCTTTTACCATTCATTTGTATGATGACACCTTAGTGTTTTAACCTTTTACCATCCATTTGTATGATGACACCTTAGTGTTTTAATCTTTTACCATCCATTTGTATGATGACACCTTAGTGTACTAACTAACGTGTTAGAAAGTGGTCCCGATCAGACAATAATTGGCAAAGTTATGGGACTTCGAAATTTTAATTACTATTGGAGCCTAAGGGACTTGGGCTTGTAAGCACAATTACTTGAGTAAATTTGAATGGATTTCGATGGATTTTGCTATGCTGCTTTTATATCAATAAGATCTCTAGACAAGTTCTCAAATGGGTCCGATCAGACGGTAACTGGCAGAGTTACTGCCAATTGGAGAATACAAGATGGACAATCCTGGCCTCTAATTTGCTGAGAATTCTCAAGATTATCTGATGCAATTCACTTCTTTATTTGTGCAAATGTTCCTTATGAGGTTCCGAACAAGTGTTTTTACTTTTTGTGCCGATCAGAAAATCCAAGATGGTCACCCGGAACTCTCATTGAGATGTTGTTGACTTCTTCTCAAGAAAGGCTTCACCGATTGACTTTTAACTTAGTAGAAGTGTTCCTTATGAGGTTTCGACTAAGTTTCTTACTTTTCATGCTGATCATGAAATTCCAGGTGACTACCCTGGCCTGTGATTGGCTAGGACATTTACAACTTCATCTGTACATAGTCCATTAAACGTATCATCTAATTCATATACAGCATGTGTATGCCTGGTCTCCAGGTTACCCTCTCTCCCCATGGGCCTCTTGTCATTTGTAACATGCGCAAATAATTTTAAGTACTAGGAACATAGACAAGCATAAATGTGTATTGAAACAAATAACAGTCAAAAGTTGACAAGGTCAATTGAAAAATATACCACATTTTTAGCTCATCTTGCCCGAAGGGCCAAGTGAACTTATGCTGTGGTCCAGCGTCAATATTTTTCTTTAAAACAATTTTTTTTTAATAATCAAAAGGTCTATGGTGATGATATTTGGCCAGAAGTAAACTGGGATGAAGGTCTACCAACTTTGTTCAAATGAATGACCTTCACTTATATTCAAGGTCACAGGGGTCAATTGTCTAAAAAAAAAATCAACAACTTCTTCTGAATAACCAAAAGAACCAGAATGGTGAAATTTGGTCAGTAGACCTGTCAGTAGCCAGCTGGGATGAAGGAATACCAAGTTTGTTCAACTAAATGACCTTCACCCATATTTAAGGTCCCAGGGGTTGATTGTCGAAAAACAAACTTTAAACGACTTCTTCTGAATAACCAAAATGCCCAGTGTGATGATATTTAGCCAGTAGTATGCTGGGATGAAGGGCTACCAAGTTTGTTCAAATGAATGACCTTCACTCATATTCAAGGTCACAGGGGTTGATTGTCGAAAAACAAACTTTAAACGACTTATTCTGCTAACCAGGAGGCCTAGAATGTTGAAATATGGCCAGTAGCATGCTTGATGAAGGGCTATCATTGAATGACCTTGACCTTCTTTCAAGGTCACACTTGGTCAAATATTTAAAAACCTTTAAATGACCTAATCTAAATCAACAAAAGTTCTAGGTTGGTGTTATTTGGCAAGTTGCATGCTGAGATGAAGGGCTATAAAGTTTGTTAAATGTAATGACCTTTTTCGACTTTCAAGGTCACAGTGGTCAAATGTTTTAAAATCTTTTAACAGGTTCTTTTGAATGACTTATAGTCATAAATACTGATATTTTGCTTGTAGCTTTAGTTTAGATCACTTTTAAGGTTTCAAGTTTGGGATTAAATACTAGGTGAGCGATGCAGGCCCATTTGGCCTCTTGTTATTTGAATATTAAGATACATATAGAAACTTAGAAATAATTTAATTGTAGTAATAAAAAAACACATTCAATAAACAATGTATTGAGCAATTTTCTCTGGTGTACCTCAATACTTTAAATATGTGGTTCTTTGGGGTGAAATACATCTTTTCATCCATGTTTTCCTCCATATCAGAGATGTTTTATTCCTATCTAGAGTGAAACTAAGTGCGTGGTGGTGTGTTTGTAGGAGCTGGCCTCTGATCAGACAGTCCTAGGTGTCCTTAGGCGCCAGTTTGAGTTCAACAAGGATGTTAGGTCACTACAACAGCTACTGGTGAGTACTTTGATGAGAAAACAGGTTAATTCATTCACCCCTGAAATTTTATAATGAACTATTCAAACCTTTGAATTGGAGGAGTTCAAATGTGTCTGTAGGGGTGAATGAATTAATTGTACATACAGTTTGAATGTACAGAGTATCATGAATGTGACGGCACTAATACAGATGTACCCTGTGTGTTGTGAGGTAGACTCTTGATGGTACATAAAGTTTGTGTATTATTCTACATACAGTTTGTATATTGTTGTACATATAAAGGTAGCATAAAATGACTACTCTTATAAATACAGATGCACCCTGTCAGGCTGTGTGTTGTGTGTAAACACTGTTCATTGTGCATACAGTTTGCATATACAGAGGTAACATAGGTGTGACTACTCTTATAATTATAGATGTACCCTGTATGTTGTGTAAATGAGAATCACCCGCTCCTCCTTCCTGCTGACTTTGTCGACGGCATGAAGATCCAGACCACAGACACCAAGTCTGCCATGCTACATGGTAAAGTGTTTCAATATTTTGACACATTTCTTGTGCAGTATTACTTGAATTCTGTAGTTAGGCCAAACAGAAATGTTTTGTTTTTAAAGGTTATAGAAAGTAATAGCTGCACTCTTGTGTTTTAGACTTCTCTTCATGACACCACATGCAATAATTACCAAAGTTATATTACTGAATAACTGCATTCTTTTGATTCAGGAGTTTCTATCCTCGAGCTCTGTCTGATTATTGCAATGAAGCACCTTACGGAGATTTACGATGGAGAGCTGTTCAATTTTGAAATGGTGTACAGTGGTACGTTGTTGGAAATCCTTAAGATTTATAGTATGTAGCATATATATATATACCAATTCAAATAATCAAGAATATTCCTGATTGTATCTGTGTAATATTTGAATTCGGTATTTAAAAAGTATCATTGCAATAAATCAAAACACAAAATGTGTTTGATCATCAAAAGCAGCCATTATGTAAAAAAAAAAAAATAGAAGTTTGTATTTAAATAGAAAATTAAAAAAAACAACAAAAAAAACAATGCACTCTAATACTGCAGGCAGTCGGGGGGGTAACTTGTGTACCCATTCCTCCCCTTTAGTAGACCCAGATGGATTCTTTGATTTTCCTGTTTTTCCAGTTGTCCCCCCTGCATTATTAGAGTACAATTTGGTGAAATTTGTCTTCATGTTTTTTGACAGCTGACTTTACTGATTCAGCACACTGTGGCTCAGTGAGTTGTTTTTAGCGGTTTAGAGTCAAGACACCGGCCATTTACACTATTTGCCTGACAAAGGAAACATTGGTTCAGAACAAACTTAACCTTTACTATTCATACCAAACTGATGAATCTTATTCCAAATTGTATTTAAATGTTTGCTTGAAATAATTTCAGAGTACAGAAAATTTGCCCAGAAGAGATCATCCATGCAAGTTTACGAAAAAGCTGTAGTGCTAAAGGTACCTGATTTTATTGAAAGTTTTAATTATTTCAAGCTTAGGCCATAAAATGTGAATACATGGAAATATTTGCCCAGTCAAACTTTCGCTGGATACCGGTGAAACTGCGTTCAGATCCTACTCGGTACAATCGGAAAATTCAGTTGTGGGAGAATGGTTTGGTTGAGGGCCTAGGAAAGATACAGAGATTACGAATTATTGTTGGTTATGTTGAATTGAGGGTCTATGTAGCTAGCATACAGAAAATACACATCATATCAGAAAGGTTTGGTTAAGGGTCAAGCATCCTCGATATCCAGGGGATATGCTCACTTTCGCTCTCTGCACCCCTGGAATATGTCATAGCCAAATTTAAGGCACAAAGATAGCTTTTTGATTCATGACCGCGAGATTCTTTTGATGTACATCAAAGGATCGAACTAGTCTTCTTGTCTCGTTAACAAGTTGGCGCACACCAAGTCTTCAATTTTGCTATGACATATTCCAGGGGTGTAGATAGCGAAAGTGAGCATAACCCCTGGCTATCAAGGATGGTTCCAGGGGGGTAGAGAGCGAAAGTGAGCGTAACCCCTGGCTATCAAGGATGGTTCCAGGGGTGTAGAGAGCGAAAGTGAGCGTAACCCCTGGCTATCGAATGTGCCATTGTTCTATGCCAGGCCGGCGTTGTTACGTATCGACCATACATTGGATATATAGAGGTATACTCCGGCGAAGAAAATATGTTAGGTATATGTTTGTGACTTGATTTGCACTTTGCCGAAATTTTTGCCGATAGTTAAAAGTCACGCTTATTTTCTGAAGCATAATTTTGTATAATCCGAACAGGTTCATCAATATTTATTTAATTTTGTTCGAACTGACTAAAGGTTTACCGTAGATACATTGAAATAGGTACTGGCCAATAAACCAAATATAGGTGACCTAGTCTTTACTTTAAGCTCTAGACTGCATTTAGTTTCATTATTTAAACAAATCAGGAACATGGGATATGTGTCTTACAAACATCTAAGTTTCTGAATTTATGATCATGTTTTCTATGGTGTCCTAAGTGTTTTTCTCCCATTTTCTCAGGCATTTGAACACCTGATTGCCCTGGAGCTGGTGAAGACAATGGATGGATCTGGATCTCGTGTGCAGAAGGAGTACCGCCTCCTGTTACTGCTTGTCCATCCCTCACAGATCCTGGATGCATTGCAGAAATACCCTAACTGTCCCACAGAGGTTAAACAGTGGGCCCAGTGCTCAGTTATATAACAATCTCTTCTGGGGCACAGAAATAGGACCTTCATCTAAAAAGTTGGCCAATTCCTCTGAAGATATGGTTCTATGTTGCTTGACAAGGGACTAGCTCACATTTGTCCCAGTCATCCTCATAGGACCAATCCCTCCTCATTTACGCAACAAGGAAGTGAAACAGTGTTCTCTACAGTAGAAAGCACTTGTTGGATAGAAGACATCTGTCAACGTCACTCCGAAATGGTTGGACAATCAGAGCATTGGCTCCATATTCAAGACAAAGATACTGGTCTGATCTTGTTCAACAGGATGTTAGTAGCTGACCTAGAAGTCATTTGACTAAACATTAGTGGTATACAGTAATATGAATGTTATCAGTTTGTTTTACCGAAAATATCATTGAGTCAGACTATCTTTCGTTGCAGCTGAAAAAGATAGGTTTCTCATCCCTTTGGGAGAAATTTCAGTGAAGCTTTGTCAAACTTACAAGAAACTTCATGTATCTTGAATTAAAAAAAAACAAAAAAAACCAGGATATTTTTCATCATTACCAGGAACTTGTAAAAACATGTTGATTTTTTTACTGTCATCACGTCTCCAGAGTTGCTAAATCAACTGTAACAATGCAATGTCACCGTGCCATGATGTACATGTCAAGTTTATCACAATTGTGTGATATTACATCAGTAATACCTGGGTAAGCAAAATATGACATATTTGTATATTCACTCCATTACACAGTATTCGTGTAATAAATGTTAACTTGACTTTGAATTTTTGTTCATAATTATTGAAATATCCCCTTCCCCATAAAGATGCAGCTTTATTAGCTCACCTGGCCCACAGGCCATGAGCTTATGCATATGATGTGGCATCCGTCCGGCATCAACTTTTTAGTTCAGCTGGCCCTTTGGGCCAAGTGAGCTTTTGCCGTGGTGCAGCGTCCGTCGTCCGTCAAAAAACTTCACAATAACCAAAAGCCCCAGGGTACTGATTTTTGGCCTTTTAACAACTTCTGAAGAATAACCAAGAGGTATAAGGTGATGATATTTTGCCAATAACATGCTCAGATGAAGGGCTACCAAGTTTGTTCAAATGAATGACCTTGACTTATATTCAAGGTCACAAGGGTTTGATATGTTAAAAACCTTTAAAGAACTTCATATGAATAACCAAGAGGCCTAGGATAATGCCAGTAACATGCTGGGATGAAGGATTACTAAGGTTGTTCAAATGAATGACCTTGACATATATTCAAGGTCACAGGGATCAAATATGTTCAAAAACTTTAAACAACTTCTTAATAAACAAAAGGCCAAGAGTGATGATATTTGGCCATTAACATGCTGGGATGAATGACTAGATGACCTTCGCCCATATTCAAGGTCACAGTAGTCAATATATGTTTAAATCTTTAAATGATTTGTTCTGTATAACTTAAGGTCATAGTAGTGTATTGCTAAACGGAAGTAGGAAGTACATCCCTAGTTGAAAATCCAGTGTAGGGAGACAGTATAACAATTTCCGACTATTCTGATGTTTACTATTAAACTCATGAATATTGTATGCTTTTATTGACAGAACAGTGTGTTCTTTCAATATTAAAGTATTGCAAAGCAATCCAGGCATTAATGCAGGGTTTTTTCATCAATGAGTCACATGTGTCCATTTTTCTGTACTTCAGGAAACCGGCTACCAAGTTCACTACTGGCCCATTTTCAAGGTCAAATGGGGGTCAAATATGTTTAAATTAAAAAAAAAAAAACAAGAGGCCTAGGGTGTTTTATATTTGGCGAGTAGTTTGCTTGGAAAAGGGCTACAAAGATTGTTCAAATATGTGACCTACGCCCATATTCAAGGTCACAGGGGTCAAATATGTTGGAATCTTTAAATAACTTCTTCTGAATAACCAAAAGCTTCAGGATGATGATATTTGGCCAGTAGCATGCTTGGATAAAGGGCTACCAAGTTTGTTCAAATGAATGACATTGGCTCATTTTCAAGGTCACAGGGGTCAAATATGTTAAAATCTTCAAAGAACTTCTACTGAATAACCAAAAGGCCCAGGATGATGATATTTGGCAAATAACATGCTGGGATGAAGCATTTCAAAGTTTGTTCAAATGAATGACTTTCTCCCATATTCAAGGTCACAGGGGGGTTAAAATATGTTTAAACTTTTAAACAACTTCTTTTAAATAACCAATAGGCCTAAGGTGTTGATATTTGGCCAGTAGCATGCTTGGATAAAGGGCTACCAAGTTTGTTCAAATGAATGACCTTTGCCAATATTCAGGGTCATAGCGGTCAATTATGTTGAAAAAACAACTTCTTCTAAATAACCAAGAGGCCTAGGGTGTTGATATTTGGTCAGTAGCATGCTTGGATAAAGGGCTACCAAGTTTGTTCTTATGAATGATCTTCGCCCATATTCAAGGTCAGGGGGGTCAATTGTCTTAAAAACCTTTAAACAACTTCTTGTGAATAAACAAAAGGACAAGTATGATATTTTGCCAGTAGCATGCGGGAATAAAGGGCTAAGAAGTTTGTTCAAATGAATGACCGTTGCCCATATTTAAGGCCTATGGGGTCTAATATGTCAAAGTCTTTAAATATCTAAGCATACAGGGTGATTGCGTGTTGATGTGAATGACCTTGACACACTTTCATGGTCACATCTGGTCCTTAGTGCATGAATCTTTAAAAGTCATCGTCTCAATAAACAAAAGGTTTAGGGTGGTGATATTTGGCAAGTTGCATTCTGGGATGGAGGACTGTACAGTTTGTTCAACTTAATGTCCATGTTTGACTTACAATGTCACAGGATTCAAATGTGTTTTGGTCGTTTAACAGGTTCATAGCTTTATTTTAGTCCACTTCTATTGTAACAATTGTGAGATTAATACCAGGTGAGCGATGTAGGCCCGTTGAGCCTCTTGTGTAAACTTTTGTGCTGCCACATTGTCGGAACCATTTTCTGAATATATGAATAGAAAACAACACAAAATCCCACATTTTTTATAAGTATAAGTGCTTCTTGGACTAAAAGATGAAATTCATGCAGACTATCACAAAGTATTGTTCCATAATGCCTGTGTCACAATATTGAATATTTGGTATGTAGCTTGCTGTGCTGGTTAGCTATCAGAATTGGCCAAATACCAGAGGCAAATTCCCTTTTTCCACTTTCAATGTCACAGCTTAAATGTGTTCTGCTTCAAACTATTTCTTTCAAAAAAAACCTTCTTTATGATAATGAGACCGTGATATTTGTAATGTGTAGCTTGGCCTATGAACTTCAATCCAATAAATTACCCGACAATCTGTTAAGGTCATATGAGGTCATAACCCCAAAAAACTGTTAAGGTCATATGAGGTCAGGTGTTCCAAGATATGTGCAGGTAAGTGCAAAGTAATTAAATCAGTTCATCACTTGTACTTGTACAAGGAAACGCTAGTGTAATTCATCAAAAAGATCATCAATTAATTGATTCAGCCGTAAATGAATCGGTCAGGGTAACGGATGTTATTTGGGATATGGAACATGCCTTCACAAAACTAGTTTCCAAAGGACACTAATGTATACATGTATTTATATATGGCAATTGCAAATCTTGGAGGCTTTTGTCTGGAATATTCCAGGGATTAGGCATTATCTAATCAAGCTTTTGTCTGGAATATTCCAGGGATTAGGCATTATCTAAGCAAGCTTTTGTCTGGAATATTCCAGGGATTAGGCATTGTCTAAGCAAGCTTTTGTCTGGAATATTCCAGGGATTAGGCATTGTCTAAGCAAGCTTTTGTCTGGAATATTCCAGGGATTAGGCATTGTCTAAGCAAGCTTTTGTCTGGAATATTCCAGGGATTAGGCATTGTCTAAGCAAGCTTTTGTCTGGAATATTCCAGGGATTAGGCATTGTCTAAGCAAGCTTTTGTCTGGAATATTCCAGGGATTAGGCATTGTCTAAGCAAGCTTTTGTCTGGAATATTCCAGGGATTAGGCATTGTCTAAGCAAGCTTTTGTCTGGAATATTCCAGGGATTAGGCATTGTCTAAGCAAGCTTTTGTCTGGAATATTCCAGGGATTAGGCATTGTCTAAGCAAGCTTTTGTCTGGAATATTCCAGGGATTAGGCATTGTCTAAGCAAGCTTTTGTCTGGAATATTCCAGGGATTAGGCATTGTCTAAGCAAGCTTTTGTCTGGAATATTCCAGGGATTAGGCATTGTCTAAGCAAGCTTTTGTCTGGAATATTCCAGGGATTAGGCATTGTCTAAGCAAGCTTTTGTCTGGAATATTCCAGGGATTAGGCATTGTCTAAGCAAGCTTTTGTCTGGAACATTCCAGGGATTAGGCATTGTCTAAGCAAGCTTTTGTCTGGAATATTCCAGGGATTAGGCATTGTCTAAGCAAGCTTTCACAGGAACACGGTTACATGGGTAAACACATCTTTCGATGTCTTTGCTTATCTGGATCTGCCGATATTGATATTTTTATCCACTGTTCCTAGACCAGGTTGAGGTTCTTCAACCCAGACGTAGCTAGAATGTGTTATGAGGTCTGTTAAGGTCCTCACTAGAGCGTGCCGTTCTACCACTTCAACCTTGTCCAGCAAGACATGTTTTGATGTGTTATTCCATTATCGCTTTTAGATCATCCCTAGAAAAACGAGGAATGCAAATTTAAGCACCTGTTAAATAAATACCTCCTTACATTTCTGTCTATACTACTTCCCAGTCTGTGTCCATATGTTGTTCACCGTACAAACGATCATTTTACTGTTGATGACTGTCCGTCATGCCGGTTTCNATTTCTGTTCATGTTAAAAACAAAATCAACTCTCTGTATAAATATATCAGGTGACCGTTAAGGCCCATGGGCCTCTTGTTTTATAACGTTGCCGATGTAATGTGTTGGAAGCAACTATAGGTGTCATTGATGGTCTGCTCCACGTTCTTGTTCCTACGTCAATTATGATGTCGCTGCTTTTTAGAATTTGCAAGTTCAGTTTTATGGTAGATTGGGTAAAATGGGTACTTAAATATTTTCGGGCCCATTTTCAGTATACTTTCAGTAATGTTGCATTGTGTTTTTGGTCATATAAATTTATTCTAAAACTGTGTTCTGTACACTTTTTACCTCGACTTTATTGTTTTTCGACATTATTTCTTCATCTAACAATTGTTTCCACCTTTATCCAAGTTCAAGTTACTAACAAAATAAAACGACTATCGTTACCATATGTTCTGACAACTTGAATAAAATATATCTATAGTACTTCCTGCTAGCTATACTTTTTAGCTCACCTGGCCCAAAGGGCCAAGTGAGCTTATCTCATGCCGCAGCGTCCGTCGTCCGTCAACTTTTCCCTTTAAAACGCTACTAGTCCTGAACGGCTCAGAGGATTTTGACCAAATGTGGTCTGGAGCATCATTGGCCAAAGGGTTCTCAGTTATGTATAAACGGAGGGTATGGTCCCCCTGGGGGCAGAGGGGCGGGGCCCAATAGGGGGAAAATAGGTAAATCTTTAAAAATCTTCTTCTTCTTCTCAACCAATAGAAGGTTTTTGACCAAATTTATCCTAGAGCATATTTGGACAAAGGAGACTCAAGTTTGTATAAATGGAGGGTGTGTCCCCTCTTGGGGCAGAGGGCCAATGCCCAATAGGGGAAATAGAGGATTTTTTTTCCTGCTATACAAGTGAAGGGATTTAAACCAAATGCAGTCTGAAACATGATTAGGGACAAAAAAAATCAATTTTGTATAAA